TGGGATGTGACCCAACATTCTTCATTCCCACCAAGCACCCATGTGATCCTGCCTGATCCTGTGGGTGCACAAGCCACACTTTGGGCACACTGTCCTAAAATGCTTATTAAATACTCAACCTGGCTTTCTGGAGGCTGAGACTTAGAATCTATGTTTTCTTTTTTTTTTTTTAAGATTTTATTTATTTATCATGAGAAACACAGAGAGAAAGAGGCAAGAGACATAGGCAGAGGGAGAAGCAGGCTCCATGCAGGGACCCCCATGTGGGACTTGATCCCAGGACTCCAGGATCATTACCCGAGCCAAAGACAGACACTCAACTGCTGAGCCACCCAGGCGTCCTAGAATCTGTATTTTCACTATATTTTCCAGTTGATTGTTTCTCTGCCTCCCTCTCTTTGGGTAGTAAAATATGCATAACATCAAATTTACTGTTTTAACCATTTTTTAAAGATTTTATTTATTTTTTTAAAGATTTTATTTATTTATTCATGAGAGACACACACACACACACACAGAGAGAGAGAGAGAGAGAGAGAGGCAGAGACACAGGCAGAGACACAGGCGGAGACACAGGCAGAGGGAGAAGCACGCTCCATGCAGGGAGTCCGACATGGGACTCCATCCCAGGTCTCCAGGATCAGGCCCTGGGCTGAATGCAGTGCTAAACCGCTGAGCTACCTGGGCTGCCGAGATTTTATTCATAAGAGACACAAAGAGAGAGGCAGAGACACAGGCAGAGGGAGAAGCAGGCTCCATGCAAGGAGCCTGATGTGGGACTTCAACTCAGGAATCTGGGATCATGCCCTGAGCCAAAGGCAGGTGCTCAACCGCTGAGCCAGCCACCCAGCATCCTACTGTCTTAACCATTTTGAAGTGTACAATTTAATGGCTTTATGTACATGTACGATGTTCTGCAGCATCACCATTCTTTAGTTCCAAAACCTCATCATCCAAAAAGGAAATCCCATACCTATAATTGATCTCTCTCCATTCTTCCCTCCACCTCCCCCGCCCCTGCCCACTCCCTGGCAACCGTAAATCTGCTGTGTCTATGGATTTTCCTATTCTGGATATTTCATAGAAATGGGATCATTCCAAGTCACCTGGGGAGCTCAGTGGATTAAGCATCTGACTCTTGATTTCGGCTCAGGTCATGATCTCAGGGTTGTGAGATCGAACCTTGAGTCAGGCTTCCCACTCAGTGTGGGGTTGGCTTGAGATTCTCTCTCTGCCCCCCTCCCACCTTGTGTGCACACAGGCATTCCGTCTCTCTAAAATAAATAAATAAATCTTAAAAAAGAAAAAGAAATGGAATCATTCCATATGTGATTTTTTGTATCTGGCTCCTTTTACCTGGTATGTTTTCAAGGTTCTTCTATGTTGTACGGTTTGTCCAAGCTTCATTCCTGCTCTGGGCTGTCTCTTATTATGCCTTTGGAGGTTGAGAACCAGCTGGATGCTTCTGAGCAATATAGCTCAGACTTTGGGAGTAAACCTCTGGTATCTGATGTTCAGTTAAATCCCCTCTGTCAGCTTCACTTTGCTCATATGTAAAATAGGGGTTAGGGAAGCCTGGGTGGCTCAGCGGTTTAGTGCCTGCCTTGAGCCCAGGGCATGCTCCTGGAGACCCAGGATCGAGTCCCACGTCGGGCTCCCTACGTGGGGCCTGCTTCTCCCTCTGCCTGTGTCTCTGCCTCTCTTTCTCTCTGTGTCTCTCATGAATAAATAAATAAAATCTCAAAAAATATTAATAATAAAATAAAATAAAATGGGGGTTATAAGAGCCCTCCCCTAGCAGAGCTATTTGCAAAGTTACCAGCCTATACCAAGAGCTCAGTAAACTGTTAGGCATGGTCATTACTCCATCTGGTGGATTTGTCAAGTGAACTGACCAATCTTCTGTTGTTGGACATTAAGGCTTTTTGTATTTTTCTGTGTGTGTGTGTGTGTGTGTTTTAAGATTTTATTTATTTATTTGAGAGAGACAGCACAAGTAGGAGAAGGGGCAGAAGAAGAGGGAGAAGCAGGCTGTCTGCTGAGCAGGGAGCTGGATCATGCCATCCCAGAACCCTGGGATAATGACTGAGCCAAAGGCAAACACTTAACTGACTGAGCCACCCAGATGCCCTATTTTTCTGTGTTTTATTTTTTTTTTAAGATTTTATTTATTGGGGCTCCTGGGTGGCTCAGTGATTGAGCCTCTGCCTTTGGCTCAGGTCATGATCCCTGATGGAGGGATCCAGTCCCACATCGGGCTGCAGGGAGCCTGCTTCTCCCTCTGCCTGTGTCTCTGTCTCTCTCTCTGTGTGTCAAGATTTTATTTATTTCTTCATGAGAGACACAGAGAGAGAGAGAGAGAGAGAAAGAGAGAGAGCCAGAGACATAGGCAGAGGGAGAAGCAGGCTCCATGCAGGGAGCACGATGTTGTGGGACTCGATCCTGGGACTCCAAGATCATGCCATGGAACAAAGGCAGGTGCTCAACTGCTGAGCTACCCAGGCGTCCCTTTTTCTATATTTTAAACAACGTTGCAGCTAAAATCTTTCTATATAAATATCTTAACACTTGCTAGTTATTTTCTTTGAATAAAACCCTGGAAGTGAGGGTACCTGGTGGCTCAGTGGTTGAGCGTCTGCCTTCGCCTCAGGTCTTGATCCTCAGGTGCTGGCATGGCATGATCTAGCTTCTTGCTCAGCGGACAGCCTGCTTCTCTCTCCTCTGCCTCTCTTCTGTGTCTCTCATGAATGAATAAAAATCATAAATAAATAAATAAATAAATAAATAAATAAATAAATAAATAAATAAATAAAAGGGCAGCCCTGGTGGCGCAACGGTTTAGCACCACCTGCAGCCCGGGGTGTGATCCAAGAGACCTGGGATCGAGTCCCACGTCCGGCTCCCTGCATGGAGCCTGCTTCTCCCTCTGCCTGTGTCTCTGCCTCTCTCTTTCTCTCTGTGTCTCACGAATAAATAAATAAAATCTTTATATATATATATATATATATATATATATATATATATATATATAATGCAATCTTTTTTGAGACATAGAAAACAGATAGTGAATATAGTAAACTCATGTTTCCACCTCTGGACTCTACAAAAGGAGGGGAAAAAAAGTACAAATATCAACGTTTGCGTGGCTTTCCTGATTGCATTCTTTCTGGCCCACCTGCAAGGGTCACGGATAGGATTTGCCCCTCCTTTTGTCATGCCTATGCACATCTATACACGTGGAAAACACACATCCACATACAATCTTTCTTTCTTCCTTCTTTCTTTTCCTTTTCTTTCTTTCTTTTTTTTTTTTTTTACAACCCTCGATTCTAGTGTTTTAAAACTGCCCACATTCGACTCTGCAGAGTTCTGCAGCTAGCATCATGTTTTGGGGTTGTCCAGCTTGGATGTACAGAGTGCAGGCTCACTCCCTTTCGCTGCTGTATGGTGCTCCCCTGTATGAATACCTCACAATCCATTTATCTTCATGTGATGGGCATTTAAGCCGATTCCAGGTTGTTGTTTTTTACCACTACAAACATTTCTGTTGGGAGCTTATCTTTTTTGTTCCCATTTGCGAGTGTTTTTGTAGGTTATATACACAAGCGAACAGAAAGAAGGGCTGTCCTTGTAAGATCCAGACGTGCTGATAGGACTTTTCCAGAGAGCTAAGTTTGTAGGGTCCTCTCTGCTTGCTGGCTCCTGCTCTCCTCTGGAGCTGTGGCCATCCTTATTGGAGAGCTGTGGGTGTGTGCCTCAGTTGAGGGGAGCGGTCTCAGAGCTGGGGGTAGCCCCAGCTGAGGAAGGATCAGCAGGAACAGAGGGGGGTAGGTAGGCTGGAAGCACGGATGGAAGACAATCGGGAGGGTGTCAAGGAGAAACCCTCAGAGAGGGACCAGCGTGGTCCTTGTTCTACAAACGCAAACCTGAGGTCCAGAGAGGGCAAGCCACTTCCCCAGCATCACAGAGCTATGCAGAAACCGTCAGCTCCTCCTCGCCAGCGGGTCATGCACACATTCATTCATCCAGTGCACATGAAGAAAGCACCTATTCCGAGCCAGCCATTGTTCTAAACACACAAGATACACGGCAGTGAGTAACACAAAGACGGCCTGCTCCGAGTGCGGAGCTTATTATTCTGGGCATAATTATGATGAATTGGTAATTATGCATGCCTCCAGGATTGCAGCGGGGGGGGGGGGGGCTGATGCCAACCGGGGTGGGGGAGGGGACTGTCCCATGAGAGTTTTCTCCAAGGCCCCGCTTCCCAGGCTCCTCCTGTCCGACCCGTTCATCCACACAGCTACCGCGGGGTTCTCGGGGTTCTCGCAGCCCAGAAGGTGCTCCAGCCACCAGGGAGAGCGAGGTGCCCTTTGTAGCCGGACAGGGCTGTCAAATAAAGTTTTGTCGCCTCGGGAACCGCAGACCGGGCGGGATCTACCCGGGCGACCGCGCACGCCCACCCGCCCCAGCGTTCTCCCCGAGGTTCGCGAAGGTTTCGCGGGAGAAAAAGAATGGGCCAGAAGCGACTCCACGGTGACGGGCGGAGGCCCTAGCCTATGGGAGGCCGAGCCGTTCCAAGGCCAGCCAGTCACACGCGGGCTATGGAGCCGGCGAGCCCGCCCCTTTCCACTAGGACCTGAATAACCTGACCCAAACCCGAGTTTCGCCTGGAGCCACGACGCTCTCGGCCAATGAGGGCGTCGACTCCTGCCTGTGGGCGGGGCGTGTCTCCATGGCAGCGGCGGAAGGACAGCGGCGGGAGCCATTAGCCAAAGTCGGCGGCTCTTGGCAGCGGCGCGAGCCGAGCGGGGTTTCGTAGGGGCACGGACGGGAGGGCAAGCGGGGAGGGGCCGAGTGGGTCTCGACCAATGAGACTGGCGGAAGCGCCGCAGCCGCTGAGAATGGCGGCAGTCCCGACCAATGGGCTCTCCCGCTGGCTGCGGTGAGGCGGGCCCGGCGGCGCCGACGGGAGGCGCGGCGACCGTGTCTGACGAGAGCTGGAGCAGGCAGTGGGAGGAGGTGGTGGCGGCTGCGGCTCTGGTGCCTGAGGAGGAGGAGGAGGAGGAGGAAAAGCGGGTGAGGGGCGGCGCGGGGCCCGACCTCTGAGCCCCCTCTTGGCCCCCAGCCCGCGCTGCCTTGGCTCCCCGTCGCCCCCAGCCCCGACCGCCCCCCGCCCCGCCCGGCCCCTCCTCATGTCCAGGCGCCCACGTCTCCCGCCCTTCGGCCTCAGGCTGCTCCGGGCGCCCAGCCTCTCCCCGCACCCTCGGGTCGCCCCGGCACCCCCCGCTCCCCTCCTTGGCCCTCAGGCTCTTCCCCTGTACTCTCGCTGCCTGCCAGGCCCCTGTCTGCTTCTTGAGTGCCGCCCGCGGACCTCAGCCCCGGCTCCTGGACCCCCAGAGCCTGCCCAGGTCCCTTCCTGGAGCACAAGCTCTTCCTCCCGGGGTGTGCAGGACCTGCCTCTCCGCTGCTTCTCCACGCCCCGCTCTGCACCCCTAGGCCCCCGTCCTCCTCCTCAGGACCTGCCCTCGACCCCAGCTCTCCACTCTGGCGTTCGTGGGGTCGTCCGTGACCCCCAGGCCTCCGAGCCGCGCTCTGTCCAGCAGGCGCCCCCGGCCCTACTCTGTGCCCCAGAACCCCGCTGTGCAGTGTATTTTGTCTCTACCCACAAGCTTGTCTGCAGCTTCCGCTCCGTCCCGGCGCCCTCTCGCATCGCCCTCTCTTTATGTATCCCCAGCCTTCCTGTCTTTTCTGGAACCCCTTCCCCACAGCTCTAGCTGCTGGTCCCTCTTCAGCTCCCCTTCCTCGCGGTCCCCCGTGGACTCTCCCTGAAGCACCGTGGCGTGGATGCCCAGCAGGCCTTCTGTAGTCAGGGTCAGGGGTCTTGTTTTGTTTCCTTTTGCTAATTCCCTTCTTTCTCCCCTTTTGATAGACCTGCACTGCCTCTCCATATCAGTCCTTTCCTCTACCCCCTTCCCGGCTTTGTCCTCCGAACCCCCCCTCCCTCCCCCAGAATCCTTGGAGAGGGAGCAGGTGCTGGGATCCCTCCTCCGCGCTCCCTCCCCACCCCCCCTCCAGGCTGCCTGAGGCTTCTCCCATAGCCTCCAGATGATTCCCAGGGGCTGCTGGGGAGGAATGGAGGGGTGGCTGGAGGGAGGTGGAGGCTGAGGCCAAGAAGAGTGGGGGTGGGTGGAGGAACAGGCTGTCCTAGCGGGTGGGAAGCCTTGGATTTTTCCTTGGTGAGGGCTGGAGGTGGAGATGGGCTCCCTCTGACTCCCACCCCTGTAGGGCTAAGCCTTTAGGGTTATCCCTGACTGCCAATTAATCAGCCTTCCCTGAGCCAGTAGGGACGAGTGCATTTGCGTGTGAGAGAGGGAGAGAGAGAGGCATGAGGGAATCTGCATGTGTGTGGGTGTGCACAGCAGGTGGTCATGGGTGATTGAAGGATTTGTGTCTGTGCTCCAGAGCATGAAGATACTAATGACGATGACTGGCATTTCTTTAGGGGCTTCCCCACTATCAGAAGTACTTGTTGCATTCTGGCTTCACCGAGAGCCCTGTGAAGTCAGCATTGCTTTTACTCCCTGATTTATAGATGAGACTGGAGACCTTTAAAAGCCTTGCCAAACTCCGCGCAGCTCCTAAGTGGCACTCCTGGGGCACTGCCCCTGCCCCTACCTTGTGCCCTCCACTCCGGGCCAAAGGCAGCATGGTCCGTGGGGCACCATGGGACCAGACAGAGTGACAGCCAGAGAGCTGTGTGAGAATGACGACCTTGCCACCAGCCTGGTCCTGGACCCCTACCTCGGCTTCCGTACCCACAAGATGAACGTCAGGTGAGGCGGCTGGGGACCCCTTCCCTTCCTCCAGGGCCCCTGCAGCCCCAAGAGGGGGTGGGGGCGGGGCCTGGGAAGGCCCAGCCAAGGCCCTGGGACCCAGGCATGCCCTCTCCCCCAGCCCTGTGCCCCCACTGCGGCGACAGCACCACCTGCGCTCAGCGCTGGAGGCCTTCCTGAGGCAGCGGGACCTGGAGGCTGCGTACCGGGCCCTGACGCTGGGAGGCTGGATGGCCCACTACTTCCAGAGCCGCGGCCCGCGGCAGGAGGCTGCCCTCAAGACCCACGTGAGGGCGCCCTTCCCTTCATCTCCACCCTCAGCCCACAGGTCTTCCCTCTCACCTCCGCCACCCTGCCAGACAGAACCTCTGGAACCCCAGGCTCTGCCCATCTCCACCCCACCTCACCCCCCACCCCCACCCTCTGCAAATCCCCCACCCCCACAAGACGCCCTAACTTCCTAGCCATTGGGACCATCTGAGACAAGGCTCAGAGAATCCTAGGAGAGGAGAGTTGGGGGCCCTCTGAGATGGAGTACAACCTCTTCATTTGACAGATGAGGAAACTGAGACCCCCAGAGGGGAAGTGAACCCCCCAAGACCACACAGCGAGTCAGTGACAGAGCAGGACTAGGACCCAGGAGAAAGAGGGCCGAGGACGACCCTGCCCCAGCTCCTCACCCCGCCCACCCCCTCACCTCCCCCAGATCTATCGCTACCTCCGAGCCTTCCTGCCTGAAAGCGGCTTTACCATCCTGCCCTGTACACGCTATTCCATGGAGACAAATGGAGCCAAGATTGTGTCTACCAGAGCTTGGTAAGAGGGCAGAGCTCACAGACAAGAGCCCTGGAGGCTGCTGGGAGAGGATACCCCAGCAGACCAGGGCAGAAGCCTCTGGTGCTGAGGCCAGGTCTAGTCTCAGAGACCTCTTGGCCTTCAGCAGCCCTGGTGGGGGATGAGAACTCCATGCGACCCTGGGGTTCCAGGGGCTGCTAGGAAAGTACTGACTGTCCCCAGGACTATGGCAGCCTTGGTGCCAGTGGGGCCTCTGCTGCATAGACCATGCTACTGGGTAAGGGGCAGGGCAGTGAGCAAGGTCGACCCTGCCAGCCACTCACAGTGTAGACAGAAGGCAGGTGTAGCCAAGTAAACACACAGGTACTGACCACAGTTCCTAGGTGCTTCAGGAGCCACTAGGGAATTTTGAATGTTCTTGGGAAGCAGGCTTAGGCAGAGGCCCACCAGAGGGTCTGGTGAAGCATGTAGGGTAGCAGCTTGTGAAGAGTCCAGGCAGAAGGGCAACTTGTGCAAGGCCCAAGGGGTTTTGGGCCTGGAAGAGGAGCCAGAGCAAGAGGACAGTGTGAGTGGTGCCTTGGGTTGTAGTGTCCTGTCTGGGCACCATCCTCTCTCCAAGGATGCTGGATCTAGGAAGTGCCCCTGGCAGGTGTAGATGCAGTGGTGGGTGGGTTTGAGAAATCGGACCACGGTGGCCAGCAGTGGCATGCAGGAGGCCTGGTCCCCTAGAGCCCCTGTCCATGGAGATAGTGGCTAGAGGTGCTGTGCACAGACCCACCCACTGCCTGGCCTCTTGGCAGGAAGAAGAATGAGAAGCTGGAACTGCTGGTGGGCTGCATCGCAGAGCTGCGGGAGGCCGACGAGGGGCTGCTGAGAGCTGGCGAAAACGACTTTAGCATCATGTACTCCACCCGCAAGCGCATTGCACAGCTGTGGCTGGGCCCGGCAGCCTTCATAAACCATGGTGGGGGCAGGGGTGGGGCGGGGCGGGTGGCAGGGAGGGTGGCCAGCCACCCCTCCACTCACCTGAATCTCTTCTCTCCCTCCCCTTCACCCACCCCTCCATGCTCCAGACTGCAAACCCAATTGCAAGGTAAGACTTGGGGATCTCTACCCAGGAGTGGGCATGGGGTGATGAGGGGGCCCCAGGGAAGGGCATTTGTGTCAGTGACTAGCCCAAAACTGCCCAGAGTCTCCCCATCTGACAGAACTGTCCTCCAGCCCTGGTTTTGTAGCTCCAGAATCATGTTTGTGGCTGCAGCGATCAGAGAGTCAGGGAGGAGGGGGCCTTGGCTAGACTCAGGGCTATGCTACTTAGAGGAGGGAGCGAGCCCCTGGCCTCATGTGGAGATGCCCGCTGGCCACAGCAGAAGGCAAGGTGGGGTGTTGGGGTGGCTGGGGGGCAGGAAGCTGTCAATTCGTGCGAGCCACCTCGGGTAAAGCCAGAGACAGCCCTAGAAGATGAGAGTCTGGGAGGCAGGGCTTCCAGGCAGAGGAGTGAACTGAGGATGCAGCTTTGGGATAGGGGGGTGGGGAAGGGCCACTATATGTTCTACGTGGTGGAGCATGGGGTGTGTGAACACAGAGCAGTCTCGAGAAGGCCTTGAGTACACATCCTGCTGAATGTTGGGCCCCAAGGTGTGACAGGGGGTCCAGAGCTGGGGCTCCAGAGTTAGAACTGGATCCGAGTCTGCCTCACTCACTTCTCTTGCGTGGGAGCCCGTGAGAACTCACCTCCTGCAAGGGAAGTGAAGTGCACACCCTGGTTCCTGTGTTCTGTGACTGCAGACCCATCCCGTTGTGTGGATTTGGGGGTGAGAAAAATGCTGGGGAGCACAGAAAACCAGGCTCTGGAGTGCAGCAGATGGCAGCTGCCTGAGGGCCCAGGAGTAAGGCCATGCAAAACAGGGAGACTGCACAGAAGTCCCGCCAGAGCTAGGCCTGGGAGGAGGACTAGGATTTTCCTAGGTGTTGAAGGAAAACCGACGTGTCAGGGCATCCCTGATGGATACGTCTCAGTGGAGGGCCAAGGAGGCAGGACCGGCCTGGTGACTCCGGCGTCCACATGCCACAAGGAGCTCAAGTCTGCCCTGTGGACGCTCCCACTGGGTGAATAATGGGGCTTGGCTCTGAGACAGCCCTGGCAGCTTATGAGGTAGAAGTTTGGCAGGAAGGGGAAGGACCAGAAGCTGCCCTGTGACCTGGTGTGTGACCTGGTATGTAACTGAGTGAGAGGTTGGCTCTAGCTGGAGTAGGGGATAGGACAAAGACACAAGACCCTGTGCACGGATGCTCCGGCCAGCTGGTCTGGGATAAGGCAGGCAGGTGGTGAGAGCCACCCCCAGATGTGTGTCAGGCTAGAGTGCAGGGAATGATGAGGGTCCCACTCCTCCTAGACTGGTGGGGGGTTGGGAGGTAGAAGGCAGGAGTGGCCGGTGGGCCAGCAATCCCAGACCTGGGCTGCAGAGTGGCCAGACCCTCTGGAAGGGAGCTGGCCACTGGGGTACAAGGTGCGGGGAGTAGGGAGTGGGTTCAGTGTGTCAGAGGGGTGGAGGAAGAGTGCAGGAGGGAGTGGGCCATGCGCACTGCCAGCACCACCAGGGTCTAGTTAGACCATCATCATGTGGGGAGGGTAGAGGCCAGCAGAAGGGTGGGAGGTCAGGGAGTGTGTGTGGTAGGCAGGCCCTGGAGAGGAAAAACCCCCCCCCACCGCCAGGGCTCTGGGCTCCTGGCCCCTGCCAGTCCCTATCCCAGGCCCCATCCTCAGGAGTGCACTTGGAGTGGACTGGCCAGGTGGGGTGGAGCCTAGGACAGGCCTCTGAGCATCCTGGCCCCCAGTTTGTGCCGGCAGATGGGAATGCAGCCTGTGTGAAGGTGCTTCGGGACATTGAGCCAGGGGATGAGGTGACCTGCTTTTATGGTGAGGGCTTCTTTGGTGAGAAGAATGAGCACTGTGAATGCTACACGTGTGAGAGGTGAGGCATCCAGAGAGGCCATGGGATGGCCCGGGGAGGCTGTAGGGAAGCATGTGGGGGCGGTTATGGGAGGCACTGGGGAAGTCATGGGAGGCACGTCAGGAGGTTGTGGGAAGGCCATGGCACAGCGGGAAAGCTGTGCCTGTGAACCCAGAAGTCCTTCCTCAGGACCTGCTCCCATCTCCCCCCACCCCCACAAGGAAAGGCGAAGGAGCCTTCCGCCTGCGGCCCAGGGAACCCTTGCCCCCTCGGCCCCTGGACAAGTACGAGCTCCGGGAGACCAAACGGAGGCTGCAGCAAGGCCCAGACCGTAGTTGCCGGCAGGGCCCCCTGGGCCCCAGGGCCTGTGCCCACCTGTCCCCGCTGCACCGGGACCCATTCTGTGGTGAGCCCCCCAGGCCCACCCCCTTGTCTGCTGGCCACCTGCCGTGCCCCTTCCTGTCCTCCGGCCCGTGGGCACCCTCCCCGAGGCCCTGCTCACCAGCCCCTCGTGTCTCTCCCCCCTCCCCCGGGCCTCCACAGCTGCCTGCCAGCCCCTGCGCCCCCTGCCCTGCGGCACTCGCCCCGACGCCTCGCCCCTCTGGCTCCAGTGGCTGCCTCAGCCCCAGCTCCGGGCGCGCCCCCGGCGGCGCCGACGCCCCCAGCCCCGGCGGGCCCCTGCGCTCCCCGTCCTCCGTGCAGCCCGCGTCTCCTTGCACCAGTGGGGAGGCTGTGGCCCTCGCTGCTGCCTGCGAGCAGAAGCCCTGGTGGCCCTGGGCCCAGCCCCCCAAGCCCACTGGGCCCCTCAGCAGGATTGGCACTGGGCCCGGCGTTATGGGCTGCCTTACGTGGTGCGCGTGGATCTGAGCCGCGTGGCTGCAGCCCTGCCTGCCACCCCCATTCCCGCCCCTGTTGGGACCCCAGGCCCCACCCCCTTCCCGAAGCAGGCCCTCGCCTTTGCCCCCTTCAGCCCACCCAAGCGTCTGAGGCTGGTGGTCAGCCATGGCTCCATTGACCTGGACGTCAACGGTGACGGGCCATGAGGAGCTGGACAGGGAGGCCGCAGGCCAGGAGAGCAAAAGGTCCCTCCTCGTCCTCCATCCTCCCCAAGCCCCAGGTTCTCCAGGACTCACTGACCTCTAGAAGGAGCTGTTGGACCTCTGGGAGGGAGCTGGCCCTTGGCCCCAGCACAGTTCTGACCTGGGCTGAGTGGGTTTGGAGACACCCAGGGATCTGACCCCTGACCTTTTGTGACTGCTGACCCCTGAGCCACCCCCACCCCCAGCAGCGTGTTCTGGTCCTGGCTGCCCTTCCCCAACTCCAGCCTCAGGACTACGGGAGCCATTCCCTTCCCTACCCACCTCCTGTCCAGGGAGCAAAGCCATAAGGGGTGGTGGCCACCCCATGGCATCTCCCCAGAAGCCCAGGCCTCAGGAGGAGTGAGACTCACCTAGGGGTGGCACTCCCTAGAGACTGTACTCTGGAGGGGAATGGGCTTGCTTTCAGCTCTGTGACTGTCCGAGGTGGGGGCAAGGTGGGGGTTGTCTGGGACATGCCCTCACCACCCCGTGGGTCTCAGGGAGGCCGGATGCGACCTCATCTTTCTCATGGTGCTATCCCTGGTGCTACTGGGGTGTGGGGGTCCCTCCCCTCCCTCACACCAGAATGGGATATGTTGGGGGATTGGAAGCACTTGAACTTTTTATTTTATTAAAACCTTGTTATAAGCAGCACCCTTTGTAGCTTTTCATTTTGATTGATGTTTTGAGGGGATGTTTATCAGCAGGGGGAAACCCTCGGCCCTGCTGGGGAAACCAGGTCAGGGGGAGGTAGCCCAGGCTTTGGGGGCCTACGAGCTTTAGAAGAAAGGTCTGGAGGTTGTCCTAGAGGCCAGAATCACACCTGCACCCGAGCCAGATTTAGGAAGAGTGCCTCAGGCGCTATCCTCACGAGCCGGGCTCTCTCATCAGGATCTCTCATCGGGCTCTCTCATCGTTCAGATGAGGTAACAGGGTCAGCCAACAGAGGGACTCGCCTGCAGGTCCTGTTGCCCCTGCATCCTCCTCCATGTTCTGTTGGCCAGCCCAGCTCTATGGGGCCAGGGCGGTAAACCTTCTCAAGCTGCTCAGGATCCAGGTCAGTGGGGACCCTGCCATCCCTCTTCATCCTCACCTCCCTCTGCCCAGTGGCACAGAACAAATGCAAGCAAGGTAGACAGCTAGCCAGGACCAGTGAGTGTGGCCTCACATAGCCTGAGGGTCAGGTGGGGCTGGGGGCTAAGGAGAGGGTGGGGCGGCAGGGAGAGGCCCCTGGGTGAGGCAGAGGAACCGCCTGGGGCGTAACCTTTTTACTTCAAATTCCTTTCATTTACTGAGAGCTGGTTTCCTTTCAGAACTAGAGGAGACCAAAAAAAAAAAAAAAAAAAAAAGAATTAGAGGAGACAAAGAGCCTGAGACCGGGCTTCCCTGGGACTCTTATTGCCCCTGATAGTTTTCTCCTTCCTGTTAAAGATGGGGGAGAAGAGAACATAGACGAGCACAGAGGGAGGGCTATCTTAAAGAACTAGGCATCTGCACAGACTGCAGTGCAGGCACCTTCACTGAGGCTTCTAGACAAACAGCACAGCAGAGCCAGGAATCTTCTCCCCCGAAGACCACTGGGGGTTACAAGAACCTCCAGAAATTCTATTTTAAACACAGTAACTACACGGGGGATCCCTGGGTGGTGCAGCGGTTTAGCGCCTGCCTTTGGCCTAGGGCGCAATCCTGGAGTCCCGGGATCGAGTCCCACGTCGGGCTCCCGGCATGGAGCCTGCTTCTCCCTCCTCCTGTGTCTCTGCCTCTCTCTCTCTCTCTCTCTCTCTATCATAAATAAATATTTTTTAAAAATAAACATAGTAACTACATATGCATGTGCACTGCCTTCTCAGGGGAGGGAGTTTGGAGCCTTCATCCAACTCTCAAAAGTGTCTGGAACCCAAAAAACAGATCAGAAACTGATGGGCAGGGTCTCACCCTTGGCGCTGCCGCCGTCCTGAGCCAGCCCATTCTGTGTTGTAGGATGAGGAGCACCAGTGGTAACAAAAGTGGTTCCAGACAGTGCCAAATGTCCCCTTGGGGCCAGAGCCACCCTGAGAATCACTGGGCTGGGCAACAGGGAAGACCTCCAGGACGAACAGTGGGCAATACCCATGGCTGGGCTGTGTTGTGTCCTGGTGCCAGCCTTCACGATAGCACTCCCAGATGACCTGTGGACAGTAGGTACATGCGCAGAGTCCCCGTTGCTGCCAGTTTCCTCCAGGACCCCCAAGTAGATAGTCCACTACCGCCACAGGGAAGTGTAAGGAGTTCAAGATGTATCCAGAGAAGTGTCTCAAGCTGTGCTGGGCCTCCAGAGCTCCCCCTGGTGGCTCAGGGCCCGGTGGGTGGGGTGGGTAGCCGGGGTTATGTGTGCAGGGCCGGGTCAGGAGGAGCCCCATCAGACAAGAGGCAGACTGGGCTGAGCCAAGCAAGGGCAAAGGGAAGATGGCGGGAGGTGAAGGAAAGAAGGAGCTGCAGGAAACAGAACAATTGTAGCTCACAAGACGGGGTCTGCACTCCGCTGCTCCTCCCCCCAGTGCTCTCCTCCCCTCTGGTGGCTGGTTCAGCAGCAGAGCCAAGAGTGCCCTCCAGGCTGGGCACCCCAATCCTGGGCCCACATGTCTCCTCGAGGGCGCTCTTTGATGCTTTTGCATGCCTGCGGTGTTGACCAGCTGCTTCCGGGCCCCTGCTGCTGATGGGCTGGCCATCCTGGAGCTGCTGATCCCAGAGGGCCGCTGGCAATCTGTCACTCCCACCGTCCAGTGTGGCTTTAGGCACCATCACTGAACCGCCAACACTGATGCTGAGTTCCTCGAATTGCCTCTGTGGACAGAGCCCCCCACCACACACACACCCTGAGAACACCCAGCTCCACAATCCTGTGACTCAGCATCATCCTCCCCGACAGCCCTATGAAGTGCACGCATTGTTATCACTGCATTTGGGATGCAAAGACTGTGGTGCTGAAGGCTTAGGGGATTTGTCAGGAGTTCATCGGGCTCTGAGAAGGAGGCAGACACCAGAGAGAGGAGGCTGGAGCTGGGCCCACTGGGAACCAAGGGACCCTGAGCTGGGCTACAGGGCTTCCATGGGGTGGAGGTGGGAGGAGAGGAGAGGGAGAGCAGGGGCCTGGGGTCTCAGGTTCCTGGGGGAAGGGCCACTGAGCAGCTCGGTGGGCCCAGGATTGGGGTCAATAAGGAGAGCAGGGCCGCAGGTTGGGGGCAGGGGCGGGGAACCAGTCGAGTGGCCTTAGTTTGCTTGGATCTGGGAGGCTGCTTCAGAGGGACTGGTAGAGGAGCAGTGGGACAGATGTTCAGAGTTCAGGGCCTGAGAGTTTGCAGTGTTGTTGGGCGTGGGCATACACAGGACAATGGTGGCAGAGTGGGAAGAATGTTCCAGAAGAGGGGTGCCTGTAGCTCTGTTAAGAATGTTGGGGGATCCCTGGGTGGCTCAGCGGTTTGGCGCCTGCCTTTGGCCCAGGGCGCGATCCCGGGACTCCAGGATCGAGTCCCACATCAGGCTCCCAGTGTGGAGCCTGCTTTTCCCTCCTCCTGTGTCTCTGCCTCTCTCTCTCTATGTCTATCATAAATAATAAATAAATAAATACATAAATAAATAAATAAATAAATAAATAAATAATAATAAATAAATCTTAAAAAAAAAAGCATCGGATGTTGGATTTTCTGACTCTGGATTTTCAGCTCAGGTCATGATCTCAGGATGGTGAGGTCGAGCCCCATATGGGGCTCTGCACTCGGTGGGGAGTCTGAGATTGTCTCTCCTGCACCGCCCCCTCCTCCCCTGCCACCAGCTTGCACACATATACTTTCTCTTTCAAATAAATAAAATCTTTAAAAAATAAAATGTTCCAGAAGTGGTGGAGGGATGATGGTGGAGAGGATCCTGGGCCAAAGAAGGAAGGAAGGAGGAAGGCTGGGAGTGGCCTCTAGACAACCGGGTAAAGTGCACTCCAGGCACTGGTGCCCTGGTGAGGTCCAGAGGCTGGCCACGGCTGCACAGGTGGCAGGCCCCATGCCCAGAGACTATCTGGGTGATCTCACCGAGTGTCACCCCATTTGGTGACTCAGAGCTGCTTTGCCTGTGTGGCACCACCACTAGAACAGGACAGCCCTTCCTGTAGCTCTCCACATACCCTGCATCCTCGTTTGCCCTCCTGTCTCTCGGTTGTGGTTGGAGAGACAGAGTCTGGGGTAAGGTATCTGGGTGGACCCATCCCAGTAATGGGACATTTGGGGTGTGCCCTGGGTGGGGTGATGAGGGCAGCATGGAGGGTATCTGTGGGAGTGGTCATCAAGGAGAGTGGGAGGAGGGGATGGAGGCAGTCCTTCTGAGTCGAGTCCACTCAGCCCCTCCAATCATCCCACCTCCTCCTGGTAATGGGACTCTGCACCATCTTGGCTTACAGCTGGGGAAACTGAGGTGCATGCAGGTCAAGAGACTTGTTCAGGGTCACCCTAAAAGTTGTGATTAGTAATAGTCACCTTTGAACCCCAGGACTGAACAGGCTTGAGACTTGAGACTACTTCTGGCAGAGTCTGGGTCCAGGCTGTCCCAAGAGGCTTCAGGGAGAAACTGGAAAACAATCCTCTCCCTGCCCAGGACTCAGGCCAGGGTAGAATCCTAGGGCTCTGTGCTTGTGATAAGGGTCACTCTTCAGCCTTGGCTGGGGGCGGCTGGCCAGGGGGCGGAGCGATTGGACAGGTGACATTTCAAGGGGCATTTGGAATCAATGAATCTCAGCGTTGCCACCTCTGACCTTGGCTGAAGGCAGGCCCAGTGCCCGATGGGGTAGGAGCAAAGAGTTATCCAGACAGGAGCTTGGAACATCCTGGAGGAGCATTCTGGAGAAAGTGACATGACACATGTCTGTGGAGAACCACGGAAGAGACTGCTCTGGCTGGGGACAGTGCTGAAAGGACAGGACCAGGCATGTAGAGGACTGGGAGGAGGGCCTCACAGGATTAGGATGGGCTGTACTTGGAGGGACTTGGAGTTGGGCAGGGGAGTGACGGAGTGAAAAGCTGGGAGAGGGTCCAGCTGGGGTGAGAGCTGGAGAGGGAGGGTGGGGGTCAGCACTGGGGAGCACACAGAACCCCCAGAACTTGGGAATGTAAGTTCCAAAGGAGGCTGGGGAGGTGTTCAGACAAGAGAGGAAGAGGACCCTGAGGACGGAGACAGAGGGCGGACTCGGTGTGGGGACAGAGAGCCAGGGGCACTCCAGCGGGCAAGCGTCGTCCATAGTCAAACAGGAACCTGGGCTGGGGGTCGCTGCCTGCTGCAGGATTGGAGCGGGGGGGGGGGGGCGGTTAGGAGGGGCTGGGTTTGCTCCCGCCCTGGGGATCTCAGACCTCCCTGCATCCCAGCCCCGATGGAGAAGAAGCCTCCCTGTGTCCCCTCTCCCTTCAGAACCAATAGTGGTAGCTGCAGGGCACTGGATACAGGAAGGGCTTCTCCAGCACCCCCGCCAGATACCAAGAAGAAACATCAGCAGCAACAGAGCTTTATTTGTGGCTTACAGACCGGGGAGTGGATAACCGGGGCTGTGTCTCCGGGAGACGCGAGGATGGGGGTCAGGGCGCTGACCCTTCCGAGAAGCCGCACTCAGGCCATCAGATTTTGCCCGCGAAGGTCCCTTCCTGGATCTGCTCGGTCCAGCGCTGCACCTGGGGAGGGGCCGGCGGACGGGGAGGCGGAGGGCGCCGGCTCAGCTGCACGGGGCCCTCCACCCTCGCCCCGCCGGCCAGCCGCCGGCGCCCCCTCGGCCTGCTCACCCAGCTCCTGGGGCACAGCGAGTGGAACACGCGGAAGTAATACTCGCAGGGCTGCGCGCTCTTCCCGCGGCGGCTCATTCTCTTGACACAGCGGTGGTAGTCTGCACGGTGGGGCCGGGCGGGCCGGCTCGGTGGCTCTGCGGCCCCGCCCCTCCCGGCCTGGCCCCGCCTCCGTCGCCCATCCCTCCGCGACTCAGGCACCGCCCCTGGCCAGGAGCTCGCTCCCTCCCTCCCTCGCTCGCGCGCGCTCTCTGGCTCATCCCGACCACACCAGATCAGGTCTCGCTCCCTTCACGGGAAAACCTCTCCTAGCCCTCCCTCACCCCTCCTCCAGGACTTGGTCCCATGCCCTCCAGGCCTCGCCCCTCCACATCCAGACCGGCCCAGCATGGCCCGCCCACTCCCTCCAGATCAGGCCGCCACCTCCAGGTCTCAGTCTCTGCCCTCCAGGGCAGGCCCCGCCCCTCCACAGACAGGCCCCACCCCACCATTGCGGGCCCACCCCCTCCAGGCCAGGCCCGGGCCCCCAGGGCCGGCCAAATCCCTCCAGGTCTCTGTCCCGGTCCACCAGAGCAGGCCCCGCCCACTCCCCGCCAGGCCCCGCCCCCACGGCCGGCCCACCCCCTCTAGGGCTCCGTCCCGCCCACTCCCCGCCAGGCCCCGCCCCTTCGAGCCCTGGTTCCCCCCTCCAACGGTCTCAGCCGCCAAGGCGGGTCCCCGACCCTCTCCCCGTCTTCAGGTGGGGCGCGCCCTTTCCTGCCTCACCCCCTCTCCCTGGTCCGGCCCGCAAGGTCTCACCCAGGAAGTTCTGGTAGCAGTTTCGGGTCTGGTTCTGGTTGGGGAAGCGCGGGTCAAAGGGCGGTGTTGACCATTTCCCCTTGGGGGGCTTCTGGGAATCAACATCCAACATCCACGGAGGCGGCAGCTCCTGCGGGGGCCGGGGAGATCCGTGGGGCTTAGGGGCGCCCTCTCTCCGACCCGCACCCAGCTCCCGGCCCCCACCCGGAAGCCCAGCCCCTGATCCCACCCGCCCTGCCCTCACCAGACTGATGCCAACGTGTCACTGGGTCGGCGGTGCTTGTGACTCCGTCCAAGGGTGCCCTTCGCTTCTGAGTCTCGGGGGTCTCAGTCCAGGAGAAACACGACCTCTGGCAGGATTGGCTGGGACCCCTGGACAGCAACCAATGGGAGCCGCGGCGCTGCAGGGGACGTTCTCCGACGCGGGCCGGGTCTGCGTGGAACCCCCTGCCTCCTCCTGCCTCCAGCCCCATGCAGCTCCTGGGGGTAGGGGGGCGCGCACACACAGGCACCCAGGCACTACTTTTGCCGAGTCTCAGACTCAGGCTTTTAATCTCTGCGAAACTGGGCCACTCCGCCGGCTCTCCCCTGCCCCGCCCCCCACCCCCCAATATATTAAGGTATAGATAGCTCTGGTCTCTACCGGAGAGGGAGCATCCCCCCGCCTGGCCTTTTCGGCACCCTGCTTCTTACGGTAGAGGTGCAAGCACTCTGGGGGCCTGTGGGGAAGAGGAAAGAGCCAGGGTGGGGTCTGAGCTCCTGGACCCCGGTGCCAGGACTGAGGCAGGGCTGTGGGGTTTCAGCATACCTGGCCAGGCTGGGCTCCTTTGGACACTTTGGTAACTGAGATGGAGTCCTCGGAATCCTGCTATTGAGGGCTTTCCCAACTGTGCATGCTGGAGAGAGAGAGAAAGCCAAAGGGAGCTTAGGGGTCAGCATCATGCATACTCAGTAAACCCATGAAAATGGAGCAGGAGCTGGAACAGGGTCCCCACCGGTGTCTCCCTGGCCCTGGCGGACCTCCCGGGCTCCTCTCCCTCCTGCCTAGTTGCTATCAAGCTGGGCTGTGGATCCTTCACACCAACATCCAAAGGCACTAATACCTCTCTCCTCTCAAGAAACGCTCTGGCACACACACTTCCTACACCAGCCACCAATCCATGTCCCTTCTCCCCTTCCAGCAAGCTGCTTGCAAAAGCTGGTCTAGGTAGGTAGGCATACAGTGTGGAGAATACACATCACATAAAATTGACCCTTGCAACCATTTTAAAGTGTACAATTCAGTGGCATTAATTACATTCACCACGTTGTGCAACCACAACCACTGAATTCCAGAAGTCTTATCACCCCAAAAGGAGACCCCGTTCCCAGTATGCGTTCCCTCCCCACCCCTCCCAGCTCCCTGGCAAATATCATTCTGCTTGGATTTGCCTGCCTTGCAAGTTTCATACAAAGGGAATCATCCCTATGGGGCCTGTTGCATCTGGCTCCTTTGGCTCAGCATCATGTTTTCCAGGGTTGCAGCAGGGACTCCATGCTTCCTGTGTTTCCTTAGGCCTGCCCCATTCAGGTCTTTGTTACTACCATGCAACAAATAATCCAATCTTTGCTGATAAATCCAGACATCTTTTATCACTCCCCTCTCTCTGCACCTAGCTGTGATATTAGATGCAGGGGCTCCCTTCCTGTGGCATTGGGGATGCCCATCTCTCACCAGTGTGCCCACCATGACTATGGTTTCCCCTTTTCCAAACACCTTGGACTCTCTTGGTCTACGCTTGCTAGTTGCAGACCTCCTCCAGTCTTATAGCTTGCAATAATTATCCATATGCCGATGATTTCCCATCATTCCTGACACATCTGGCTACCTACCCTGCATCCTCACCAGACATCTCAGAATTAAGATGTCCAGAATGGAATTCCTGATCCTCTACCTGCCACCTGCTCCATTCACAGCCTCTCTGGCTGCTGCTGATGGCCACAACGTCTCCCCAGTGTCCCAGACCCCAAGCCCTACAGTTGTCCTTGATGCCACATGGACACGCCCAACCTATGAGCCAATCTGTTGGCTCAGCCATCAGATCATCTGCAGAATCTTGCTTCTTCTCAACGCTTTCAACATCTCCCCATCTTGTCCCAACTGATAGCATCTCATGCCTGGATCACTGCAGCTGCCTCCTGCCTGTTCTCCCGCCTTCCATCCTTGCCTCCTTATGCTTGGGCCACAGAGAGCCCCCTCTAACATCAGTTCCAGTCATTGTGCTCAAAGCCCTCACCCCCACCCCAGCTCACTCAGCATCAAAGCCAAAGTTCTTAAAATGGCCTGCAAGGTCCCACATGATCGCCACCACTTCCATAACTTTTTTTTTTTTTTTTTTTACTGCATTCCCTACTCTGATGTCCCCTGGAACTCACTCCTGGTCCAAGATACTGCACACATATATATCTGTGCCTGATGTGTGAATGGCATCCTCCTTCTTTTCCTTCAGGTCTTTTACACAAGTGATATCAGCTCACTGAGGCCCTCCTGGACCAACCAGCCCAATACTGGAGGCCACCTGCCTTCCCTCCCAGCCCCTCTACTCTGCTGTTTTCCCATGAGGCTATCACCTTGTATCACACCACGTAACTGACTTCGTTTCTATTGTCAGGATTCCCAACTTCAGCCCACCTGTTATTTTGCGTGGATCATTCTTTGCTGGGGATGGGAGCGGGGGACACCATCCTGTGTGCTGTAGGATGTGGAACAGCTACCCTGGACTCTACGCACAAGACGGTAGGAGTGTGTACTCCCCAAATTGCTCAGTGCGGTACCCTCAGTGCTTAGAGCAAGGCCTGGCACAAGTCCACACTCACTATATCTCAAGTCCATGAGCAAAAGTGAAAAAAGAGGGCATGATCCTCTCTACCTCGCAGATAATGGCTTTGACAGAACATGTCAGCTTTGCCCCCAAGTACCTGGATGAAGGATTAAAGGCATCCAATTCATCTGTCTTCTCCCCACTGGTTGCCACGTCTGTCACACTCTCAGCTTCCAAGGGTGAGGGCAAGACCTCTGAGGACAAGTCGGTGATGGTCAGAGGGCTATGGTCTGACATCTCTTTGAGCTCCTGGGGCTCTTGAGATACGCTGGACTCTGAGGATATCCCAGGCTCCATCTTTGAGATGGGGCTCAGTGACATGGGCGACTGGGGTGTACTCTCCCACTCTGATGCAGGCAGAGGGATGGGAGGTGGGGAGGCTGTGTCCGTGTTCCAGCTGCTGGATTCCAGCTCACGGAGATAGTACACTTCGGAAGGTCCCATTGAGTCCTGGGATGACCTCTCCACCTTTGCTTCCTGCTCTACCCAGGAATGCTTGCTCTTCTCTGCCCACTCATGCATTTTCCCCTTCACCCAGGGGCTCACCTGGGACTGCTCCCTAGCCGCCCCAGGTGCCCCCTCCGATGAGGGCACCCAGCTTTGTGCTGGGGACTGCTCCTTAGCGGCCACAGGTGTCCCTTCCGATGAGGGCACCCAGCTGCGCACTGGGGACTGCTCCTTAGCCTCCACAGATGTGCCCTCCGATGAGGAGACCCAGCTGTCCAACAGAGACTGCTCTTTAGCCATCACAGGTGTCTTCTCTGGCGAGGGCACCCAGCTACGCACTGGGGACTGCTCCCTAGCTGCCACAAGTGTCTTCTCTGGTGGGGGCACCCAGGTGTGCACTGGAGGCTTCTCTTTAGCCACCACAGGTGTCTTCTCTGGTGGGGGCACCCAGGTGTGCACTGGGGGCTTCTCCTTAGCCACCACAGGTGTCTTCTCTGCTGGGGGATCTTTATGGGGCTTGGTGGGCACTGTACTCTCTGTTGGCATGGCAGACACCTGGGTGGCCGAGAGCCAGGAGGGCAGACGGACTACAGGTGGTCTCTGGGGCGGCTCTTTGGAGTTGGCCATGATAATCAGCTTGGCAAGGGTGAGCCCCTCCACCGAGAAGGGCCTGCTCTGCTCTTCTGGGGGTCCCTCAATGGTCAGCTCCTCAGTCTTGAGCCACTTGTGCTGCTGCCTCATCTCCTTGGACTTGAAGCCAGGAATGTCCAGAGCCCTCTCCTCCTTCTTCCTCTGCACTTTGTCTTCCAACCAGCTTCTGCCTTTCAGGCCGTCCACGTTGATCTCATGGGCTTTGCTGATCACCACCTCCGATGACTCCCTCTCTGTGGTAGTGAAAGGCAGCTCCAGGGAGGTTTTCTTGGTCCTCGTCTCTACCAGGTCCATCTCATGGGTGCTTACGAACATCATGGGCTCTGGCATCCCTTCTCGCTTGCTTCTCTTAGGCACATTCCTTGTAGAACCTAATCCGGGCAACATGCCCAAATCAACCTCATCCAGGGTCCCCTGGTCCTGAGTGGGAGAGATCAGAGCCCTCTGAGATGGCGTAGGGAGGAACAAAGATTTCCTGTTTCGGACAGTGTGGGTCGCAGCCTTTGGGGGCAGAGCAGGTATGGGTTGGGCCTTCTGAGATAGGACAGGTATGGCTGTAGCCTTCTGTGGAATAGCCAACCCAGGTGGGGCCTTCCGAGATGGGACAGATACAACTGGGGCCTTCCGGGAAATGGCTGGTGCAGGTGGGGCCTTCCGGGCTGAGCCGTGTACTGTGGGGGCCTTCTGGGAAGTAGCTGATGCAGGGGGCACCTTCCGAGATGGGCCCCGTGTGACAGGTGGCTTTTGAGAAGCAACAGGTGCCACTGGGACCCTCCGGGATGGGCCAACACCAGTTGAGGTCTTCTGGGTTGGAGCATGTACTGCTGAGACCTTCTTGGACTGGTCAAGGATGAATGGAACCTTCCAAGAGGCAGCACGGATAGACTGGGTCTTCTGGGAGGGTGGCAGCCGCTGCCTCTGCCCAGATCCCGGGACCCGGGGCCTTTCCTTGTGCTTGCGGAAGGAGGAGTAGGGGGCACGGAGGTAGAAGGCTGGAGGGCCTGGGCCTGGGGAAAAGGAGGAAGATGACAGCGTACTGGAATCAGGGTCTATCAGGTGTTCGATATCCTGCTGCCACAGGTACGGGTCCAAGTTTTCATAGGAGCCCGCCAAGGAAGGACCAGTGCTCTTCTCCAAGATACAGTGTACAGGGGTCTCAACTAGACCTCCCAGGACCGTGCCCAGGTCAGAGTCAGAAGAGCAAGCCTGGAGATAGGTCAAAGAAAGACGAAGAACCATCAGGACCAGGGGAGGCTCCGAGACCCAGGCCCCAGCCCCTCCTCCTTCAGACCTGGGAGTCCAGGCCCCCAGCCCCCTCCTCCCTCAGACCCAGGAGTCCAGGCTCCAGCCCCTCCTCCCTCAGACCCAGGAGTCCAGGCCTCTAGCCCCTCCTCCCTCAGACTAAGAGTTGGGTCCCCAGTAAATAGCTGCCTTGGAAGAGGACTGTGTGTGGTTGATGGTATTGGAAATGATGCTGAAGATGGTACGGATGGTGATGCTGGGCTTCTCTGGGTGGAAAGAAAGCAGTCTGAGCTTTCAGGGGAAGGGCCAGAACCTTGGGGGTCCATACATAGAGGGGGTGGCGTACTTACCGGAAATCTGGGTTTGGGTCTGAGATCTGTCAGGGTGGAGGTGTGGTTGGGACCTGTGGGGGCAATGTGATGTGACTCTGATGGTATCTGCACCAGAGTCCTCACCCTTCCCCTGCCTCCCATCGGGAGCGAGACCCTAAGCTTACTTTTCTGCAGATTTCTTTTTAGCTTTAGCATGCTCCATCTGTGACCATATGAGAGGCACAGAGTCGCCCACAGCCTGAGACTTGAATTTGCGCTTGAGAGTCTGGCAGTGAGAGGAGAGATATAGGGCAGTCCAGAGGCTCAGCACCTCCAGCCCCCACCCCTCAGCAGCCAGGCCAGCCTGGCCTGCTCACCTTGGCCTTCTTCTGTCTCTGAGATGCCAGCAACTTGTAAGGAAAGGTGGGCTCGACAATCATGACTGCAGAGGAAAGGGGGCTTTGAGTCAGGGTCCTTGACAGGAAGGATGCAGGGAGCTGTGCAAGGGGCTTGGCCAGTGGAGGGGGGGAGGTGTGACCATGCCTAGTGCAGGAGAAGCTGAGAAGCAGGGAGAGCCTGATGGACACTGAGCCTGCTCACCTGAACGGTCGGACTGTGGCTGGGCCTGTGGACAGGGAGGGAGGGCAGTCAGGAGGGCTGGCCTCCTCCTGGTTTCCACATCTCTGTTGCCTACCCAGGCCAGGACTCCAGGATCTCAGCCCAACCCCCTGCCAGGACTCAAGGGTCCTGTCCTCTGCTCCTGCAAACCCTGGAATTTAGTCCCCCAGGCCCCTCCCCCTCAGACCCAGGAGTCCAGCTCCCAGCCCCTCCTCTGTCATCCAGGAGTCCCAAGGCCACCACCCTTAGTTCTTGGGATTCTGCATTTCAGGCTGTTGGTCTTGGCTCTGAATTCTAAAGCCATAGCTGCCCCCAGGGGCTGGGGGGCAGTGCCCACCTGGAGGCGCCAGGTGGAGGCAGGAGGTACAACATGGGCCAGGTCCGTGGTGGGTGTATTCAGAGTCCTGGGTGCCCAGGTTGTGGCAGGCTCCTGGAGCAGGTTGATGAGACGGATCCAGCGGTCAAACAGGAAGCCAACCTCTTTATCAGGGGCATCCAGCTCCAGGTAGTAGTAGCGGCCTGTGACCAGGCGCAGCTTCAGACGCCAGGCAGACAGGTCATGCACGTAGAGGTGGGCCAGGTCCAGCGGGAGCATCCTGGGGCAGGGGGCAGGAGATGGAGATAGTAGAGCAGGAGATGGGACAGGGCAGGGGGAAATTCGTGGGGGGATGCTGGCACCTGGTGAGGACGAGGTTGGAGCACTCCTTGCCCTCTGGGGGCTGAGCGATCAGCAGGATGTCAGGCAGTACCAGGCCTGGCAGGGAGGCGGCCACACCCATGGTCAGGCGGTTGGTTCTGTGGTGCACGTACACGGGGGCCCCTCGATTGGTCACCTGGGGGGCAGAGAGAGGGGCTGGGACCACTCCTTTCTCCTGTGCTCCTCTGGTATCCCCAGCCCAAGGCCCCTGCTAGTTGAGCCCCCCCCCCCCCACCACTGCCCTGTGCTTGTCTGGGTTACAATCCCCCCAGCTCTGGCAGGGGTCTCAATCCCCTCCTGCCCCGCTCCTCCCCCAGGGTGCAGGAAGCTGGGGACCTGGACAAAGTTACTCTCGAACATGGGCAGCGGGCGGAGGGGCAGGTACTCGCCCTTCTGGAGGGTCTTCTGCAGCTCGCCCAGAGTGGGGACCCATTTTGAGGGGCCCTGGAATGGCTCCATGCGCCTCATGTTCCGAAAGCGGTTCATGGCATCTGGAGAAAAGGCGAGTCACCACAGACACAGAGTCAGGGGCCCAGGTTCCTGGGTGCATGGCCTGCCCTGTGTCCCCCAGCCCACTGGGCCTGGCCCTTTGGGCTTCACAGGTGCCAGGAGCTCAGGGGCTGCAGAGGGTGGAGCTTCCCTAGGGCTTGGCCATGGCCCTGCAGGGAGGTCAGCCCTGGCCTGGGGGAGGAGCCTTCTGGTGGACAGGCTTTGTGACCTCATCAGACACGTGTAGGACTCTTTCTGGGAACTCTCTGGGGGCATGCACTCCCTTCTGCTCCAGGTTGTGGCCTAAAGTCTTGAGGGCTGGAGTGTGTGAATCAGAAGTCCCCACTCCGGACCCAAACTAGTGGAAACCCTTGGAGGTGAAGGAGGGGCTGTCTTGGATAATTAACCAGAGTTTCTGACTCTTAAGAAGGGAGGCTCTGAGTACAGCTCCAACTCACCACTGACCTTTCTCTAGTAAGACTTGAGTAAGACCCATATCTTCCACTGGGCCTCAGTTTCCCCAGATGTCACTGATTTGTGTCTGTGGCAACAACTGCTGAAACATGGGTTATAAAGGGATGTACAAGCACTTTGGAATGAGCCAGACCTCCAGCAGAATCACAGAGGTCTCTCCCTAGCCATGTGACCTTAACAAGGGGCACCCCCCCCACTCCAGCCTCATCTGTAAAGTGGGGCATAATGGAACATTCAGGGGATCATGTGAGTAAAACCTCACACTTGAGGCACAGCCCAGAGCAGGCACTCAGTGGGCAATGACCCTTCTTCTGAGGGCTTATTTGAGGGGAAGGGGTGGACTGATATTCTGTCATTCTAAAAAGTATATATATATATATATATATATATATATATATATATATATATTAAGTATCATGTAAAGTAGGTGGTCATGATAGAAATTCTGGATGATACAGACAAGTGCAAATAATAAAAGTCACCCATAACTCCTCCCAGCCTTCCACCCTAAAGGGACCACTGTCAACATTTTGGTGCATTTTCTTCTAGGACTTACTATTTTTTTTTTAAGATTTGTAATTTTTTAAAAAAGATTTTATTTATTTATTCATGAGAGACAGAGAGAGAGAAGCAGGCTCCAGAGAGCCCGACGTGGGACTTGATCCCGGGACTCCAGGATCACAACCCGAGCTGAAGGCAGTGCTAAACTGCTGAACCACCCAGGCTGCCCTATTTTTTTTTTTTTATAAGTAAACTTCATGCTCAATGTGTGGCTGGAACTCCATGACCCTGAGATCAAGAGTCACATGTGCTACTGAGTCAGCCAGGTGCCCCATATTCTAGGACTTCTAAAAACATCTATATATCTATCCATCCATCCATCTATCCATCCAAACACAAAATGGGAATCATGCAGTGTTTACAAACTTCCTTTCTCTCTGCCTTAATGGCACCTCTGTGGCATCCCCTCTGCCTGGCTAATGGTATTCCATCACTTGGACAGGTATAATTTATTAAACCATCCCTCATTGTTGGACATCTAGGCTGTTACTGATTTGTTGTTGTGAACATTGCCATGATGAACAATGTCAAATTTGCACACATACTTTGTCACGTACAAGTATTGTAGGTCATAGGATGGCCTTCTGGAACCTTCCATTGCTCCAGGAACCCCAGCGTCAAGTACCCCGTCCCAGCCCTCAGAGAAATCGCCTCTAAGTGGATGTGTTTGACAAATTTAATTCCCCCTTCTCCATCTTACAAAGGTTTCTCACATTTTTGTACAAAAACCCAGACCTCCTTTCCCTTCCCTCCCCACCCCAACATAAAAAGTAATTGTTTAATAAATAATATAGGTTCTTGCCCAGGCCCAGAGGGTTGAGGGACAAGGAAACACTGTGGCCAGACTTCTTAAGAGATTCAAGAATCCAGGACTCCAGTTCCCTGCCCCTTTGGTCCTCAAGTTCACCTGCCTCCCACCCACCCCCTTAAATAAATAAGTATAAATAAGGCACAGATACCCCCCCCTACTCTGCCCTGGTCTCCTGGAGTGACTGTCTCTATTTAGGGGGAGAAAAAGAGAGGGTGTCTTCCGGCTGCCATGCCCCCAGTCCCAAAATAAATAAATAAATAAGATGTGGCATTGAAGGACATTGATGGTTCTGGGTGGCAGGTCACAGCCGAGTCTTCAGCAGCAGCAAGCCCCGCACAGCCCAGTCAAGTGTCAGGTGCAGCCCCCCAAGAATGGCATGGGCTGCCCTGATGCCTCCCCAGGCTGAAGCCGGGGGGGCTAGCGGGGGAGCTGGTGGGTCTGGGAGTGCTTGGGGTAAGGCCAGGCGGGACATCTGTTGGGAGAGAACAGAAAGTTAGCAATAGGTCTGGGGTGCATTGGGGGTCCTGGGAAATGGTGTTTGGAGCCTCTACTGAATGGGGTCTTGGGGAGTCCAGGCTACATCCTCCCGCAGTGTCTCTAGCTTGTGAGGTATGGTTTCTGAGTGGACAATTCTCAGCATGTTGGGTTTAGAAAATGAAGGCTGAGGCCAAAAGGTAGGAGTGTCAGAGGTGGAATTCCATGGCCAAGTTCAGGGGGCTGGGGAGTGAGCTCTAGAGAGTCAGGACTGGGATCCTGGTGTTAGGTGAGGGCTAGGGCCTGGGGGCTCAAGTCTGGGGTTGAGTCCAAGATCTCAGGGCTGGGGTCTTAGATGTGGGGTCTCTCCTATCCAAGCTCGGGAATTCATGGGTGAGGGCTAGGGTCTCAGAACTGGGAGCTGGACTTTGAGGTCCAGAACTATCTGAAGTTTTCTGATCTCAGAGTCCTTGGGTCTAGGATTTTAGCAGTCAGGGTTTGGAGGTCCTGAGGGCTAATGACCAGCATCTGAGGTCTTAGGGACTCAGAGCTCAAGGTGTGGGGTCTTCTCATTTGAGACCTCAGGGTCTAGGTTCTTGAGGTCTGGAGATAGCAGAGCCAAGGTCTCCAGGCTGCCTTAGGTCAGGGTCTGGGGGTCTCGGGGCCAAAAGGATTTGAGGGACAGGGGCAAGGGTCTCAGAGCAGGTCTCGGGTTTCAAGTCTAGGTGTCAAGTCTGGGAGCTGAGGTGTCCTACCAGGAGCTGCAGCCGGCGCAGCAAGCGGTCCAGCCGGGCCTGCAGGGCACCCAGCTCTGGCTCCAGGGTCCGCAGGGAAGGGCCCCCCGCCCGGCGCAGCCATTGTACATGCCGCAGGTAGGAGAACAGGTCCGCCCGCAGCCGTGTCAGCACACCTGGGAGCTAGGACACAGGGTATGCGGGCATCAGGGAATACCTGCCACTGCCTGGCCCCAATCTCCCATGCACCACCACCCCCACTGCCCAGATCTCACCTTTGCCCCTATCCAAGCTCCCTTCCCTTACCTGTAGGGCTCCCAGCGCCCCTGCACTCATGGCCAAGGTGGGAAGAGAGTCCAGGTTGTGGTCTCCGTCGGCTGGAAATTTGTCTCTCTGCGGGGGCAAAGAAGCCTTGAGGGGGACCCTGCCCAACTCCAAGGGTCTCTCCATCCTCCAGACAGGCCCCAAACTCCTCCCTCCCCCTCCGACTCTGCCACCGTGGTAGCCCAGAAGCCCTCCCCGCTCTTGGTCCCCATCCCAGCCGGCCCCTCCAGCCTCTCCTACCAGCTGTGCAGCCAGCTGCCGGGTGTCCGCCAGGAGGGAGCGGGTCAGGAGGACGGCGCTGTCCAGCTCAGCCCGAGGGTCTGGGGAGGCCCGTGGGGGGCCAGGAGGTGGCCCTGGGGCAGCAGCTCTATCTGGCCACAGGCTCAGAGCGACCAGGACCAGGCAGCAAACACCTGGGGGCGGGAGGAGGCCGAGAGCTCAGACCGGACTGGTGGGTCTGAGGCGGGAGGGACTGGGGTCTAGAGTCCCAAGGTGGAGCGCCCGCGGCAGGTCGCAGGCCCGGGGCGGGCTTCTTTCTGCCTCTCCGGCTCTGGCTGCCCCGCCCGTCCGAGCAGACGCGGCCCGGGGCGGGTAGACGGGCCGGGCGTCTCCCGTCCGCCCCCGGACGCCGGAATCTGGGCCCCGGGGCGGGGCATGAGGGGGGAGGCACAGGCCAGAACCTGCCCCCTCCCCGGGCCTCGGGAGCCCGAGCTGGAGCTAGAGCTGGGGAAGGAGACCCGGACGGGCAGGGGCCCAGACCCCTTCCTGGGAGGCACCCCTGCCCCCTAGCGGGCCGCAGGAGGTCCGGCCGAGGTGCCGGGGACGCCCACGGAGCACACCTGGGCGGGGAGAGGCAGCGGCTCGGGCGCCGAGCGGGACCCGGCGGCGGCGCAGGACTTGGGGGCTTCGGCCCGAGCGCTTCTCCCCAGCCCATCCCCCGCCGCCCCGCCCACCCCCGCGCCCGCCAGCCAATCAGCGCCCCCCGGGCCGCCCCGCTCCCGCATCACACCCCCAGCCCGCCCCCCGGGCCCTCCCCCGCCGCTGTCTGCCGGTCGGTCCGCACGGTCTGGCTGTCCTGTTCCTGTCTTGCACCGCGGTCTCTCTTCCTCTCCTCCCCCTGACTGAGGTCGGTGCTCTGGACTTGGCGCTCACCTCCTGGGGCTCTCTGCCTCCGTTTCCCTCCCGGAACCTCTCTGTCGGGGGGAATGGGGGTCCCGGGCCCTTGGGGGGTCGGTCACCTCCCGGCCTCTGTCTGTCTGGGCCATCTCCCTCGCTCTGCCCTGCGCGCCTCCCGGCGTCTGAGACTCGTCCTCCCGTCTCTTCTCCGGGCCTCCTGCTTTCTCGGAATCTCCCTCCTCTCTGTCTCTGCCTCCCCGTGGCTCCCTCTCTGTCCGCTGTGCCAGTCTGCTCCCCACCCTCCTCGCCGCGGTCCCTTCCTCCTCCCTTCCTGTCCCCCCCACCCCATGAACTTGAACCAACTTACTGTTCATGTCCCCACAGGGCAAGTGTTCCCCAGGGCAGGGGGCAGGGAGCTGGGGGCCTTTAACCCTTCCCTGTCCGCTGCCGTTGGGGAGCCCTGGGGGTCAGCTGGGCCTCGGCCTGGGGAGGGGAGGCATGTGCGTGTGAGCAGCGAGGGCCGTGGCAGTGAGGGAGTGTGTACGCCTGGGGGGTTATATAGGGGGCCAGGGCGGGCGGGCGGGGGGCAGGCGGCAGGGGAGGGCGGCCTGACACATCCTGACTCACCCTCCCTGCCTGCCTTTTCCATTCAGACAGAGCCGGCTGCTTCGCAGGGCTCACGCTGCCTCGCTCAGAGGAGGGCACAGAAGGAAAAGTTGGAAAAGTTGAAAAGAGAAAGGGGGGGGTGGTCGGAGAGGGGCTGGTGAGGTCATTGGCGTCCCCTCCCTCCACCTCCTGGGCCCAGGCCGCCACAGGGGCAGACACCCGCGGCTGGAGAGCTGGGGCCCGGCTGTGGGCTGTGGGCAGGGGGTCTGCGGTCAGGGGGTTGGCTGGACCCGACAGGCTGAGAGGAGGGGAGGCTGGGGGAGAGCTGGGGACAGGGCCACAGGACACAGGCCTGGGGACATGGATGAGCGAGGCAGAGAGACTCCAAGGGACAGAGAAAGCGAGCGGAGGAGAGTGTGAGACCCGAGCAAGAAGACAGAGACGCTTGGAGAGAAGAGGGGGACCCTGGGACAGAGACAAGAGCCTGAACTGCAGAGATAGAGATGACACACGGAGAAATGGGCACACCAAGCAGACACATTGCAGGAGCAGAGAGACACCAGGAGAAAAAGGGACAGATTGTTGCAGGCTTAGAGGGGAGGCGGGCAGCAGGTGACAAAGCTGCAGAGGCCCCAGGATATGTAGGCACACAAAGATGGAGGTGCTGAGCCATGGCTGCAGTGATGGGCAGAATCTGCAGTGGGGGGGGAACAGCAGAGACAGGGGACTGAGAGAGCATGAGAAGCCCAGATGAGGTGGGACCTTGCACAGGTGCTGTTGCACCCTCTCTGTGCCTCAGTTTCCTTATCTGTGAAATGGGGATAACCCAGCAGCCGTTCCACCCATCCACACACACACCCAAACACCTGGGTAAGGATGAGTTCCCTCGTGTAAGGCATAGGGTCAGCTGTCAATATGAACAAATATGAACCATTGCAATTCTCTTCCTTGATTTTTATTAACGCATGCAGGGAGACCCAGAGAAGGATGCAGTATCCAGTGTGAGAGCTGGAGATGGTGAATGAGCAGGCATGATAATGAGGGTGACAGACACAAGAAGAGAGCGGCTTGGCCAGGGAGTGGAGACAGGAACAGGGCAGAGGTAGCAGTACACTGCACGGGACACCAGAGCAGGAGAGGGAGACATGCTGACAGCGGGGGTGGGGTGGGGTGGGAGGACAGCATTGCAGACAGAGGCATCGGGATGAGCACCAAGTCCACTGAGCAGAGCCAGTGAGGGACCAGGTCCAGAGCCTCATCCCCAGAAGCATCCCCCCTCCTAGTGAAAGACGGGATGGGAGTAAGAAGAAAAAGTGACACAGATTTCTAAGGGTCCCCCTGCAGGCCCCCTCCTGGCCCTCAAAACTGCTGAGCTGGCAGGGGGCTCCAGGGATGAATGAGGGTAAAGTCCTCCACCTCCCATTCCCCACCACTGGGGGAGGGTGACTGCTCAAGTCCCTGGGGAGGTGAGGTCACAGCCCCCCCATGGTGGGACATGACCTCATTGCCTCAGGTAAGAGCACGCTCTCTCAGTCGGTCATGGCCACCCCTTCCAGGGCCCCCCAGGGGCCCTCCCCAGCTCCTGCTCTACTCCCGCAGGGACCCAGGCCTCTGACCACTGGGTCTCCGCCCCTCAGGGGGCCTGTTTCCGGCTGAGTCAGCGTGGGGGGGCCTGAGGCTGCGTCAGTGAGGGGAGAACTGACGTAGCCCCCCCCCCAGACCGGCGGGGCCAGCCAAGGTGACTCAGGCCACCAGCCTGGGGGATGGACTGGCCTGAAGGGATGGGGACTGGGCCTGGGGCCAGTCTGAGAGCAACAATAGGGATCATGCAATGGCAACCTCTTCCACTGGGAACCAGGGGGGCCACCCCAGACCCTGGACCCCCAGCCTCCTCCTCCTTCAGACCTTGATGTCAGGTGTCCAGGCCCTAAACCCTGGTTCCCAGGTGGAGAAAAAGGTGTGGCCATTCTGCTGTTTGGGGAATGCTCTACTGGAAAGGTCAGGAGTCTGGGGCCGGGCCAGTGTCCTGGCTGGTGCCTGTCCCCCTGGATCATCTTGCCTTGGCCCGCACCCTGGGGCCGTGGGGTCATCTTTCCCCATCTTCCATCTTCCCTAGCTTCAGGAGGCTGAGGGAGACTGGGTGAGTGCAGGGCAGGAGGTCAGGGATTACACAGGACCCTGGGTCTTCAAGACAGGGATGCGGCTCAGATTATTTCCTTTGCTAGAAGAGCAAGAAGGGATGGGGGACAGACACTGACAGGCAGGATTGGGGAGTCACAAAAAAGTGGCAAGATGACACCAACAAACGGAAAGGGACCAGAGCACAGACATCCAGAGTGAGAAAAAGACAAGGATGCAAAACAATGTGATCTATAGACACACAAAGAAGCTCAGAGGCTCAGAGACAAGGCTCGGGAGACCCACTGCTGGGGTGGTCACAAACATTGGTAAAATGCTGCTGGGATATGAGCCAGGAGCAGGGGTCCTGGCTCATGTGCTGCCCATGGGCAAGGGAGGACTGGCTGGTGTGAGGTCAGCAGGTCCGAGGCTGTGTGTGTCCGTCTGTCTGTCCCTGGGGGGTCCTGTCTGGCCTCTAGGGGGTGACGGGGCAGGCAGGCCACAGAAGCAGCCCAAACCTGTCATTAGCGGTGAGGGCCGTGAGGGCGGGGGGGCCCCCCCAGTCCCAAGCCGAGGTCCAGGGCCCGGCAGCCCCACCCCCCACCCCCTCCTTGATCCCTGAGGAATCCCGGGAATTGCGAAGTGGGTCCAGATGATGTTGACACAGGAAATGGTCATCAGCTGCTGGCCTCAGCCTCACAACCCCTATGACCCCCCACCCCCGGCCCCCTGCTGAGCCCCCTCTAACCTGTGTCATCTCTGACGGAGGCAGCCCAGGGCCACTCAGCTCCCACCAGGATGTTTACAAGAGATGCGCAGAGCGGGAGTCAGACTCACAGGGCTTCTTGAGAAATGGGGTCTGGACTCCTGGACAGCTGCCCTCAGACCTGGTCTTTGGCCTCCTCCTCCCTCAGACACAGGGGTCTGAGCCCCCAGCCACCTCCTCCCTCAGACCCAGGGGTCCCAGCCCCAAGTCCTTCCCCACTCAGACCCTGGAGTCCAGACCCCCAGCCTCCTCCTTCAGACCCAGGAGTCCAGGCCCCCAGCCCCTCCTCAGAAATCCAGCCCCCAAAGCCACACTGCCCCCCTCTTCACTGTACTACAAAGTTGAATGAAGGTTCACCTGAGAGGACTAGGAATCATGGTCGCAACCCAGCCCCTCTGAGGGGAAACAAATGGTGACCTTGAGGGCCTCCACGTGCACCCCTGGACCCCTCTCCCCATTTGTGGGTGGAGTGAAAGGCCTCAGGGAAGGTCTTCCTGCCCATGAGCCACCCTCCCATCTCCATGGGCCCTTACACATCCCCCATCCATTCTCCACTGGGAGGCCTGGAGTGCCTTTGGGACAAGAGGAGTCCTGAGCAAGTGCTCTGACCCACTTCCCCTGTGTCCTCCCAGGCCACCGGGTCATTAGTGGGGGGGCCTTCCTAACAATGGGGCTCAGTAAGCCTCAGGCCCCCCCAACACGCCCTCGTTGCTAGGGGGAAGACCCTGGCAACGATGTCTCAGGAGACCCTGCGCCACCCAGAGCTGCCCGCAGGCATCAGGTTACTAAGCAGAGGGATTCTCTGGCAGTAAGGTCTCCCAGGCCCCAGGTCCCCTGGTTGGCAAGCAGGAGGTGCCTTAGACCACCACCTGCTTTCTGGTCAAGCCGATAAAGAGGCTCCTTTGATGCCCAGGCCCCCTCCCTTACCCCCATGGACCTTTCCACCTGGTTGCTAAGGAAGCAACTTCTTTTTTTTTATTTTTTTTATTTTTTTAAGATTTTATTTATTTATTCATGATAGTCACACAGAGAGAGACAAAGAAGCAGAGACACAGGCAGAGGGAGAAGCAGGCTCCATGCAGGGAGCCCGACGTGGGATTCGATTCCGGGTCTCCAGGATCGCGCCCGGGCCAAAGGCAGGCGCCAAACCGCTGCGCCACCCAGGGATCCCGGAAGCAACTTCTTAACAACCAGGCATGACCAGGCCAGTGTGACCCCCTCCTTCCTTCTCTCCCACTGCTCAGGTGGCTCCCTAGCAACAGAATTTAGAACTTTGAAAGCTGGGTGGGCAGGTGGGCGGGGCCCCGCTGGTTGCTGGGGTGATGGCCTTCAGGGTCTGTCCCCACAGAGGCCCCTGGGGTCTGGGGGAGGCAACATGGTGGCCTCTGGGATCCCAGCTTTGAGCCTTTTCCTGCTGATGCAGGGCTCAGTAGGTAAGGGGGCTGAAGTGAGGGTCCAAGAGCTGGGCAGGGAGCCTCCTCAGCCTCCATACAGCCTCCTCTAACACCAATCCTTTTTCTTCACAGATGGGAATGGAATCCAGGGATTCTTCTATCCATGGAGTGAGCAATGAATTAAACCTTGGTCCCCCAAGGACAGGGAGCCCAGACTAGACTCTTGGGTCTAAGGGGAATAGGGCCTGGAGGCCAGAACTCCTGGGTCTGAGGGAAAAGGAGGCTAGGGGCCTGGACCCCTGGATCTGAGGAAGGAGGGGCCTGGGGGACTGGATTCCTGGGTCTGAGGGAGGAGGGGCTGGGAGCCTGGACTCTGGGGCCTGAGGGAGGAAGCTCTGGGGGCCTGGACTCCTGGGTCCTGCACAGATTAGTAGGACCAGGCAGGCAGGCCTGGAGTCTGACTTTGGGACCCTGGCATTCTGAGGCCTTCGGGACAGACTCTGTGACATAGCTGCCACTTGTGGTTCGTCCCAAGGCTGTGAGGGAGATGTGTGGGACCGGGAGAGCTGTGGGGGCCAGGCCGCAATCGAGAATCCCAATCTCTGTCTGCGTCTACGCTGCTGCTACCGTGATGGGGTCTGCTACCACCAGCGGCCAGATGGTGAGTGCCTGGAGGTGGGGTCCCCGGGGCAGGACTGGCCGCTGAGACTCCCAGGTCTCAAACCTGCCTCTTTTGTTCAGAAACTATGCGGAGGAAGCATATGTGGGCACTGGGCTGGACATGTGGAGGCCTCCTCTTCCTAATCTCCAGCATCTGCTTGTTCTGGCAAGTGGCGTTGGGGCTTGGGGTGGGCACCTGTACCCCAGGGGAGCAGTCAGCCTGGTTAGGACTGAGTGTGTACCCTCCTCCCAGGTGGGCCAAGCGCCGGGACATGCTGCACCTTCCAGGGTTCTTAAAGGGCAAATGTGACCTGTCGAGGACCGTCTCTCTGTTATCTAAGGACCGGGGGACTCTGAGTGATAAAAAGACATCTGCGGGCAGCGTGCCAACCTCCCTTCCTACGGAGGGGAACGCGGATGTGTCAGGAGCCACTGAAGGGGAAGGGACGACAGAAGGGGGTGAAGAAACGGAAGGTGGAGAGGACGAAGATTAGGGGCACCCCTGGGGGGACCCCACAATACAGATATAGCATATGGACGTGTGGTGTCTTTTCTCAGAACCATGGGAACAGGAGGGACCTGAGCTCTGGGGCAGGGTGTGTGTGTGTGTGAGTGTGTGCACGTGCGCAAGTGTGTTGTGTGCAAGCAGGGGCCAGGGAGCTGGGCTGTGATCATGGGGTTCAGGGCCGAGTGAGGTCTGAAAGCAGGGCATGCTGAGTACATGGGTGGTGGCCTGGACCAGGGTACATACTGCAGCTATGGGGCCATGACTTGTTCCCTTCCTGCGGGAGCACCATTGTCCGGCAGTCTCTGCCACCTACTCTTGGGATCCCGCTCCCCTCTGCCAGCCTGTGCCTGACCAGCCTGCCTCGCCTCCAATGCCTGACCAGGGCAGGACTCCCTGCCAGACATGGGCCACCCCCAGCGGGTTTATTCTCAGACTCTCCAGGGGCTGGGCAGAAATCTTCCTGGAAGCGTGTATAGCACAAGACTTGTCCTGCCCAACCCTCCGGCCTTCCTCAGGTGTCACACCGGGCCAGCTACCCTCCATCAGCACTTCCTCCCCCGGGGGCGCCTGGGTGGCTCAGTGGCTGCAGACTCTTGATTTCAACTCAGGGCATGACCTCAGGGTTGTGAGATCGAGGCCCCTGTGGGGCTGTGTGTTGGGCAGGCAGGGAGCCTGCTTGAGATCCTCCCTCTCCCTCCCCCTCGGTCCCTTCCCCTCTGAAATAAATCTTTTTTTTTTTTTTAAATATTTCCTCCCAATATGTTGTAAGTCTAATTTGTCCTTCTGTCTGCTTCTTGGAGGACCCCCGCACCAACAGAGGGGCCTGGGCTGAGGAGGTTTGGACTGGGGGGGTGGGTGGGTATGGGCTCGAGATCCTGGCTGCTTTCTTGTGAGGGACCAGTATGAGGCTGGGCCCCAAGGTCTCCTAGGGCATGGGTGGCCCCTTTGTGAGTATGTGGCCTGGCCCCAGTACTGTCCCCTCTCCCAGATAGACACACAGAGCTAGGAGGCAGAGCCATTTATCCAGGGAAGGAGAGAGGAGGACAGCTAGGCATCCCGGAGGCCAAGTGATGTGGGGCACAGCTGAACATCGCAGTCCCGTCCTGACACGTGGGGCCGTGTGGTCGTCTGCAGGAGGAAGGGTGGTATTAGTGACTGTTGGGGGCTCAGGATTCATACATTCCTGGGGCCTAGCACCCAGTGGCCTAAGGGGCAGGGGGAGCCCCTCCCACGCTGACTGGCACACCTGCTTGATTGCTCCTCCATCCCTCCACGCCCCCACCTGCCGCAGCTTGTGTGGCTCGCCAGAGTCCAGGGCTACAGGCTGGAGGAGAGACAGGAATGTCAGGAAACACAGACATGTAAAGGGACAGATGGAGACACAGGGACACACAGAGAAAAAAAAAATGATGGGATAAAGAATGGCTGCTGCTGGTGGCTCTGTCTACTCAACATATTCTGGTCCCAGAGCCAGAATCTTCAGGTACCTGTGTTAAAATTGAGGCTCTCTGTCCTCTGTGTGCTGGAAGCACCTTGCCCACTAGGGAGTCTTGTGTTTGAACAGGTCTGTCTTCCTTGGACGAGGGGCTGCCACTCCAGTCACTTAGGACCATGGTTCTGGCAGGTGGTTCCAGCAGGAGACCCAGCCAGCGACGTTAGACTGCTGGGCAAGGTGAAGGATTCTCGCCGCTGGTGAGCGATTCTTTATTATAGGCCAAGTTCTGTGCGAGCTGATGCCTCCTCACCCATGCTTACATCTTTTCTTAGATTCGGCTCCTCCTCTGAACTACAGAACACAGCAGGTGATTGGAGTGACTACATCCTCAGTTCTCACAAAGAAGGGTCTCTAACTAGTACTGTTCTGGATGCACAGAAGAGTTAAGTTTGTCACATGCAGAGGTCTAAGCACATCGGGATTTAATTCTTTTGTGGAACTCACCATCCCCACTCTTTTAAAAAAAGATTTTATTTATTCATGAGAGACACACAGAGGCAGAGGGAGAAGCAGAGATAGCCTGATGCAGAACTCGATCCCAGGACCCCGGGATCATGCCCTGAGCCAAAGGCAGACACTCAACCACTGAGCCACCCAGGTACCCCTGCAGATCTCCCTTCTCAGAAACTGATTCAGTCACTCATCCATTCACTGTTCCACTTCTTTATCCATCCACTGGCCAACCCATCCATTCTCTCATCTTCCTATCTGCCCAAACCAATTCTGCTGAATCCTACCAATTCATCAGTCTAACTATATCCATCTATCCACCAATCCAACCACCCATCAAACCATCCACCCATCTGTCCATGCAGCCACCCACAGACCCAAACACCTGCCTCTGATTTCCTGAGCTTACTTTTTGCTGGGCAATGCTAAGAATGAAGACACCAGAGACACAGGCCTTAGTATCAGGATGCTCCCTGTCGAGCAGGAGACTGTACCAGCACACACTCACAAGACACATCACAAGCAATAACAGGGAACCCCAGACAAAGGAAGACCCAGAGAAAGGCAGCAAAGTTGAGTTGGATCTTAACGAGATGTTTTCTGCGTGGAGGACAGACGGCCCCCAGCACTCCTGCTGCAGGTGAGAGCATGCATGGAGGACAACTGACAGGAGAGCCTGGCTGTCCGAGGACTGAGCGATGCCATCATAGCTGCAAAGAAGGGAGACGGGCTGAAACGTGCAGGGTTTGCAGTGAGAGGCTGAGGTTTAAGCAGAAAGCCACAGGGAGAAACAGCAGGTGTCTGAGCAAAGGTGTTTACAAAAGGGGACAGAAGACAGAGGAGAGAGAGAAAAGGGAAGGGATGAGCAGCAGAACCTTCTCTGCTTTCACACTCCTGACATTTGCATTCCCCCTCTCTTTTAGAAGCATCCCAGCTGTGTGCCCTTGGGCAAGAGGTGGCACCTTTCTGGACCTTCCTGTCCTCCACTGGAATGGGGAAGGTACCGGCAGTGACTCGGAGACCCAGTTACTCTATGAGGATTAAGTGGGCTGGAGTGCAAAGCAGGGTCTCCTAATGTGGGGGAGAGCGGATCGTGGCTCTAGGCTTCATCTGGGGGGCAAGGTCTCTCTTCAGAGGCTGCGCTCATGCCTCCTGTCCCGGGCTCTGGCTTTCCCCGCTGTCTCTCCGGCTCTCCCTCTTATCTCTCCAGCTGTCTCCCCTGTCTCTCCGGCTCTCCCCCTGTCTCTCCCTGTCTCTCCAGCTGCCCCCGCCGCACCCCCGTCCGATCGTCCAGCTGTCTGCTGCTCTCCCTGCGGCCCCGTCCCTCACCTCCGGCTCACTCGGGGCCCGCGCCCGCCGCCCCCGGCCCCGCCTCGAGCGTAGCTAGCTGCAGGCGTACGCGGCGGGAGCCGGCGGCGGGCGGCGGGGGCGCGCGGGCTGCTCGGCGCGTTCCCTGGGAGCCGGGTGCGGCGCGCGGGCCGGAGGCCGGCGCAGACCAGCGGCGGGAGAGCTTGCGCGCCAGGCGGGCCAGCGCCGAGGGCCGCAGGCCATAGTCGCGCTCGAGCTCCTGGCGCGAGATCTCGATGTTGCCGGTGTACCAGAGGATCCAGCCGAGCAGGCTCAGGAAGACGAGCAGCGCGCCAGAGTAGATGAGCAGGTCGCCGAAGTCGCGGCCGCGCACCTGCAGCTGCGCGAACACGCCGGTCAGCAGCGCCGCCATGCCCGCCACGTCCAGCGCCACGGCCATCAGCAGCGCCATCCGGCAGCGGCCCAGACCGGACGCGGGCAGCGGCGCGCCAGCCGGTGGGGACTGTGCACCCGGCGGGGACCCCTGCGGGGCGCCCACCGCCGGCGCCGCCGCCATGGCCCTTGCTCCGCCGCGCTGGCTCTCTCGGAGAGCGTTCTGGGGTGCGGCCCGGGGCGGGGTCAAGGGACGGCGCCAGGTGTGCCGGGCGCCCGCCTGGTCACCTGACCACGCTGGGGGGCAGACGGGCCCGACCTGGAGGTGCCCTGACCCTGGTTTCTGGGCACGTCCTGGCCCTCAGAGGCCTATGCTGAGGGCTGCCAGCCTCACTGATCAGGGTGGGAGGGGCCTTATGCACCCGAAGGAGCGCTAAGGAAATGTTCAGAATTCAGGGTGTCCAAATGGAGGTAGCGTGGGGCGTCCAGCAGGAGGCTATCTCTGCCCAGTGCCTACTTTCAGGGGCCCCGTACGCACCAGACCCCACAGAGGGGACAGGTGGGGTCAAAAACAAGAATCCGACGAGGCTCTTGGACCTCAAGAAGTCCCAGGACCCAAAGAATCAGCAGGCAGAGGAAGCATGGGACTCCTTGGAGCTGAGCCTTCTTCCACTCTTTGCCTGTGCCGTGGGGCGGCCCGTGCGACTGCATGAGAGGCATGGAGTGGATGGTCCTTCCTGCACTGTGCACCACCTCCAGATGTGGGTGCGCTACAGGGGGCAGCACTGCACAGGGTAGTACTACACAGGGCAGTACCCTGCGCTACTAATGCCTCTGCACGATTGGGGCTCTCTGGGAACGAAGCCAGATGGGGACCCCGACACTACCACAGGTCAAGGTGCACTGGGGGTTGGTGCGGGGGGGGGGGCAACATAAAGCCACTGTTCCTTGAGCCCCGTGTTGGCGAGGCCGGAGATCCCGAGGTATGTCAGGCAGGGCTCCCGCCCCCGAAGAGGGCCGCGACCACAGAAAAGAAACTTCCATAAGTTTAAGGGGTGCCACAGCGGGCACACTGGAGGGGGAGGGCCGGGAGAGGCCAACAGGTAGGACCCTCTGAAGGAACCAACAGCTTTCCCATGCAAATCTCTTCTCCTGCAAACGACTCGCCCTTAGAGGTAATCTACGCCCTCCCGGGGTGACAGTCGGCGAAAAGATTCCGTCCCGCGAGAATCTCTAGATTCTAAAGCATTTGAGAGCATCACGGGGAGGGCAACCCGAGAGGTCAGCGGGGATTAGCCACGGAATTCCGAATGTGGCCGATGAAAGCCGAGTGTTTCCGAACAGACCCGAAAGGGCTTGCGCCAATAAGAGAAGGCGGCCAGCCCGCGAAAGAGCCTTTCCGGAGAGTTCCGAAAATGCCCGATCGGGCCTCCGTGCCTCCATCGGGAATAGCCGAGAGCTTACGAAGAAGACCGGAAGTATCCAAAGACCCTGGAGCTAGCCTTAAGTAATTAACGGATTCTCACGTTTATTCATAAAACGAATGTTTATTGAGCGCCTATCCTGTGCTCAGCGCTGGTGAGCAATCCTGGAGAGAAACCCTTGTGGAAAGGGACTTCGGGCCTCTCGAACTGGACTCACTCGGAAATCCAGCGCTCGAGTTCCGAAAACACACGAAAGACCCTCGGAACAGTGGCGCTCAGCCTCCGAGAACACGCCCTCGGGTCACCAGCCGAAGAGTTCCGGAACTCTCCGAACGGTTGGCGACGAGGCGGCGGAAGTGGCCGAACGTTACCGAGCCGTCTCGGAGGCGGAAGGGAGGAGGCGGGGACAGGGGAGGGCAAGCGCGTGCCCACAGAGGAAGCGGAAATGCGTTTGGAATTAAAGGCGTCGCCGGGTCTTCTACTTGCCTCTTTCCGTCTCTCGCTGCCGTAAGGAAAGGAGGTGAGCGCGCGGCTCTCCGTCTTCCCGCGTGGTTGCGACGCTTGCCGGCGGCCCGGGGCCTCTGCCGGCCCTTGCCTGGCCTCTGGCGCTGCGCCGCCCCCGTCCCCGCCGCCGGAGCTCGCCGCGGCATCTCGGCTTCTCCCCTCGTCCCGAGCCCAGCCCCGGCCCGCGGCTCGCTTCTGACGCCCTCCCCTGCTCTCTCTCCCCGCAGCCGCCGCCATGTCCGCTCACCTGCAGTGGATGGTCGTGCGGAACTGCTCCAGCTTCCTGATCAAAAGGAACAAGCAGACGTACAGCACGGTAAGCGGGGCGCCCGGGCGCGGGGAGGCAACCGCCGCCATCGCCGGGGTCCTTCCCGCCTCACGGCCTCGCCGCGCCCCCTTCCCTTCCCAGGAGCCCAACAACCTGAAAGCTCGCAACTCCTTCCGCTACAACGGTCTGATTCACCGCAAGACTGTGGGCGTGGAGCCGGCGGCCGACGGCAAGGGTGTGGTGGTGGTCCTGAAGCGGAGATCAGGTGAGCCCCCGGCGGGGCGGGGCAGGGATGGGGCGGCGGTCCACCCCAGGGGGAGGGGTGCTCAGGGGCTGGACGGCGCGACCTAGCGCGGCGAAGTGCTTGAAGCAGGCTAGGTATCCGTGCAGCGCTGCAGTAGTTTGACCCCTCAGCCGCCGAGTGCATTCGGGAGACGTCCCGAGCGTCCCACTCCTACTGGACAGGCTTTTCGTGTGACAGAGGGTCAGGGGGACTGGAGACCTTCAGAGGCAGGTGTTGTGTAGACCAGAGGCATCACAGTCCCCTCACCTTTGTTCTTTGCTGGGTGGTGTTTTGGTTAAGATTTTACGTCATCTATTTATTTATTTTTAAAAGCATTATTCACAAGAGACGGGCAGAGATATAGAGGGAGAAGCAGGCTCCCTGTTGGGGGGCGCCGATGTGGCACTCGATCCCAGGACCCTGGGATCACAACCTGAGCCAAAGGCAAATGTTCTTCTAGAGTCAGCCTGGCATCCCTTTGCTGGGGTATTTTAAAAGATGGGAGCAAGGTTTTTCCTGAGCTCTGTTGAGGGCTGTTTTCTGTTTGGGTTTGGAGCCTACTGCTCAGGGCAGGGACAGCAGTGGCTGTGGCATGCTGGTTCTTGATAGGACTCCTGCCCACCCTGAAGGGGGGTTACTCTTTCTCAGCTCACCAGTGAGCATCCAGGGTTCTTGTTGTGCTCCTGAGAACCCCATGCTGCTGCTCTGTGCCCTGAAGCTCTCACTTCTCTGTCAGGTTGTTGGGTGGTCTCTTCCGGACTATCAGAAACTTGCATTGTTTTTTAAAGACTTTATGTATTTATTCACGAGACACTGAGAGAGGCAGAGACATAGGCAGAGGGAGAAGCCGGCTCTGTGCAGGGAACCCAATGCAGGAGTCGATCCCAGGATCACGCTCTGAACCACTGAGCCACCCAGGTGCCCCAGCAACTGGCATTGTTTAAAGTCACTGGTGTGGTGAAGGGTCCTTGGTTTCTTGGGCAACACCTTCCACATCTGTTTGGGGCATAGGACACTCCCCAAGACCTCGTTGACTGCTCTACTTTAGATCCTGACAGAGGCCCTCAGCTCTGCACACAAGGAAGGGGTGCTTTCCTCTGAACCACAGGCAGTGGGGTCCAGACTCCACCTGTGGATGGGCAGGCAGGTGCTTGCTGCAGGGCTCTTGCTCACCCTGGCCTCATCTTGTGACTCAGCTTGATTGGAGCTTCAGTCTCACAGGTACTTGCGAACCTGACCAGCGTGGGGTGAGCATCGTCCTGCCCTGGAGTCAGGCAGGCAGGTGGCCTGTGTGCCAGTGACCTTGGACAAGAGTATTTTGCTTTCCTCTCCCCCCTCCCTTTTTATTTTTTATTTTTTAAAGATTTATTCATGATAGACATAGAAAGAGAGGGGGAGGGCAGGGACACAGGCGGAAGGAGAAGCAGGCTGCATGCTGGGAGCCCGATGTGGGACTCGATTCTGGGGCTCCAGGATCATGCCCTGGGCCAAAGGCAGGTGCTAAACCACTGAGCCACCCAGGGATTCCCGCCCCCTCCCTTTTTTTTTTTTAATTTAAATTTAAATTTTTTTAAAGATTTTGTTTGTTTATTCATGAGAGAGGCAGAGACATAGGTGGAGGGAGAAGCAGGTTTCCCACAGGGAGCCCAATGTGGGATTTGATCCTGAGATTCCAGGATCATGATCTGAACAGAAGGCAGACGCTCCACCGCTGAGCCACCCAGGCTGCTTTGAAGTGACTTTATGAACTTGTGTCAGGGACACAGAAGAGCGAACTCCTGGTACAAGGCTGGGTGGACAGGGCTGGCTGTGGGGCGCTCAGGTCCCCCATGTACCACTGCACCATCACACTGACCCCTGCTGCTGCCACCCCATCCCCTGCCTCAGGCCAGCGGAAACCTGCTACCTCCTATGTGCGAACTACCATCAACAAGAATGCCCGGGCCACCCTCAGTAGCATCAGGCACATGATCCGCAAGAATAAGTACCGTCCAGATCTGCGCATGGTAAGCAGGGCTTCTGACCAGTGGGGCTGGAGCTGCTCTCAGGAGGCGGTGTGGGAATGTGTGCTGAGCCTTTTCTTTGTCCTTCCAGGCTGCCATTCGCAGAGCCAGTGCTATCCTGCGCAGTCAGAAGCCTGTGATGGTGAAGAGGAAGCGGGCCCGCCCCACCAAGAGCTCCTGAGCACTTGCCCCTGTACCCAGAGCAATAAAGATGTTAACCATCTGGCTTGGGCCTCCCTTCGCTGTGGCCCTGGGGCTCTGCCCCTATGCATTCATATGGGTGCTGCCTGTCCCAGCGTGGTCCCCCACCCATGTTACCATATGATTCACACTGTTGGGGCTGGAGGGGTCAGGTCTAGGTTGGGGGAGCTCTGTCCCAGCATTTCTGCCCCCAGGACTAGGCCTGGTGCACGTTCTTATGTTGAATACGTCAGAGGTAACTGTTCACGCAGCAGATTAGTGCATGTGACCAGGTAAAGTCCACTGCAGTCCTCACAGTCCTAGGTCTTCCAACAACACTTGACAGCTCAAGAAAGACCATTTAGAGCCTGACACTAAGGGCTGAGGATCCAGGCCAAGGGTCAGCCCACTTCCTGTTGGTGTCAGGGTACCATCTAGGACTTAAAGGCCTGGGCTGTGGGCCCCTGACGGCAGGAAGCAGGGCAGGAGCATATTTACCTCTCCCTGTGTGAAGTGGGAGCTGTGGGTCTTGGGCATAGATGCAGCTTCAGGATCCTCACAGTCCCTGGGCTGCCCATGGCTGCAAGTGACATTAAACTACCTGTCCCTTGCCAGGAACGTGGGCAGCCACCCGTTGCACCCCCTGCTAGACTGAGAGTGTGAGCACCCCTGCTTTTGGCCCCAGTCACACTAGCCCATCAGGATAGGCCTCCCCAGGCTACCCTTGTCTCTCATCCTGAGGGGCCACAATGAGTTCTCTAGTTCTGCTTGCTTCCCTCCCACTGTTCTAGAACTACTGGTGATGGCTCCTAGGGAAGGACTCAGACTACCCCCACCCCATCCTGCCCTCGCCTCAGCCTCTAGCTGTGGGCAAGTGAGGACCTCTGCCTCATCAGAATTCAGTGGGTTAAGGAAAGCAAAGGCCTTTTTTTAAAAAGATTTTATTTATTCATGAGACACAGTGAGGCAGAGACACTGGCAGGCTCCATGCAGGGAGCTAAACCGCTGAGGGCCCCCACCCCTGGCGTCCCAAAAGCAAAGACTTGAAAGGGCGTCTGCACATGGCAGGTGCTCAGTGCTGTTCTGTCCTCTAGGAGTTAAGTACTGTGGGAAACCGGACTTAGGCATTATTAAAGATGTTATTAGAACACAAGCAGAGAGGAAGAAGCAGGCTCCCTACAGAACAAGGAATCAGATGTGGAGCTTCATTCT